CTTAAGATACACAAGGATCTTGACAGACTTGAAAATTAGGCACTATCTAACAAAACAAAATTTGATGGTGAAAAGAGTAAGGTTCTTTTGTACATTTAGGCAAGAAAAACTAAATGCACAGGTACAGTATAGGTGGTACCTTGCTCAATAGTAGTAACTGTGAGAGGGATCTTGGAATCTTAACGGACAACCACTTAAATATGAGCCAGCAGTGTGCAGCCAACACAATTTCAGGCTACATAAACAGAGGGATAGAATCAAGATCACGTGAAGTGTTAATACCACTTTATAATGCCTTGGTAAAGCCACACTTGGAATACTGCATTCAGTTTTGGTCGCCACGATGTAGAAAAGATGTGGAGACTCTAGAAAGAGCGCTGCAATGAACAACAAAGATGAGTAGGGGACTAGAAGCTAAACACATAAAGAACAGTTGCAGGAACTGGATATGTCTAGTCTTATGAAAAGGAGGACTAGGGGAGACATGATAGCAACCCCAGATATGTCAGGGATTGCCACAAAAAAAGAGGGAGACAAGCTATTCTCCAAAGCACCTGAGGATAGAACAAGAAGCAATGGGTGGAAACTAATCAAAGAGAGAAGCAACTTAGAACCGAGGAGAAATTTTCTGACAGAACAATTAGTCAGTGGAACAATTTCCTCCAGAAATTGTGAATGCTCCAACGCTGGACATTTTAATGTTGGATAACCAGTTGTCTGAAATAGTATAGAATTTCATGCCTAAGCAGGGGGCTGGACTTAGAAGACCTCCGAGGTCCCTTCCAACTCTTGCTTTCTATTCTATTGTAAACGCAGCGATGAACCGTTTTTTAAAAGACAGATTTCGAAACGGTTACGCGACGGATTAGCAACCGCGGGTTTGCAGACAGGACCTTTTTCTTCCTTTTAAACAACTTCTCTTAGATTCCAAAGACTTCGTGACAATTTGCCGCGACACCCCGCTACTCCTTTTCCTTTGAAGAATTATCTGCCGGGGTGGGGGAGAAGGGAGGAGATTATTTCTGCCTAGAAGGTGAGCAGGAGCTAAAAAGCGAAAAGTCCGTCAGGTCAGCCTGCAGATGCAATATTGTTCCCTTCCTGTCCCGGGCTTCGTTTTGCTCCCTCCCAGCGAGCGTCTTTTCAGTCCCGGGACATTCATAAGCCCTGTAGGAACTTTGGTGATTCAGTTTTCTGGTTACTCACGTGTAAACGGCAGAAACGGCAAGAGGCAGGCGAAGTATGCGAAGGAGAGCGACATATTTTTTTTTAAGCCAATGTTAAAGTTTCGTTTTTATCGGAATACGCGGATGCTCAGCCCTCTGTGTTTTTCCGGGTCAGCGAAAGAGACGTTTGCTGATTAAAGAGAGAAAACAGCGTACACAGCTAGAAATAAATATAAGGAATAAACGATAGTTACCCCGCGAAAAACGGATGGGTGGGGGAAGATTAAATTTTTTAAAAATAAAGATAAAATTTGGAACGGGTAGTTTATCCGAATTACCGATTTCAAATTAAAAAAATTAAAGCCGAGCTTGTAAAGATCAGAAGGGGATGAGAAGCAAAAGACAATCCAAAACAGAACACTTACTTTTACAGGATGTAGGACCTGATAAAACAGATAGGCAAGAGAAATAAGAACAATAATATGCTGGGACAAGTTTTCCCAGTTTGCTAACAGCGCGATGAGAACCTTTTTATATAGCCAGGGAACAAGCTGACATTATCAATCAGAATAGAACTGAAAGGTACTTTGGGGGTCTTCTAATCCAGCCCCCTGCTCAAGCAGGAGTCCCTACCATAAATTGACCCTGATTTCTTTGTTGCAGCCCCTCAAATACTGGAATACTTGTATCATGTCCCTCCTAGTCCTTCTTTTCTCTAGACTGGCAATATCCAATTCCTGCAATTGTTCTCCATATTTGTCTCCAGGCCTTTAATTATCTTGGTTGCTCTTCTTTGCACTTTTTCCAAAACCTCGACATATTTTTTTTTGTATTGTGATGACCAAAACTGGATACAGTATTCCAGATGTGGTCTGCTTAAGGATTTATAAAGGGGTACTAATACTTCACTTGATTTTGATTCTATGCCAAGATGAGTTTGGTCTAATTTTGGAGCAACTGTTCGTGAGAATGAATTCCATTGGACTATGACTGCATTCAAGAATTTCCAAGGGAAAGTGACAACAAAGCTTATTATGATTCTTTGCACTATCAGCTAGATGTTCAGACTGTATTTGGCACTTTTATCCACCTAACGAGATTTTCCTAGAGCAGCGGGGGATGGGTTCCTGCCAGTTCTAACCTCTTCTATAGAAGAGGTTCCACAAATCTACCGGGCCATTTAGAACCAGTTCCAGCTCCTCTCCCTGCCCATCACTCACTGATTGGCTGGCTCACCAATTGCCCCACCTCTAAGAGTCCTATCTAAACCTTAAAGTCTTAAAACTGTCAAGTTTGAACACCCTTGGAGTTTTTTTCTCTAAAGTGTTAGGGGTGCAAGGGTCTTGTAACTTGACAGCTTTAAGACTTGCGTGCTTCAAATGCCAGTTTCTGAGCCAACATTTTGGTTGCTAAGCAAGAGCGTTGTTAAGTGGGTTTCACCACATTTTACAAGTTGACCACGCCCACCCAGTCACATGACTGCCAAGCCACTCCCACTCAGTCACATGATGGAAAGCCACTCCCACCTGATCACTCCCACAAAGCAGGCCACACCTACAGAAGAGGTTCTAAAAAAATTTGAAACCCACCACCGCAGAGTAGGCATATATGTTTCATGGTGCTAAAGTTATTGCCACAGGATATAAACTATTTCCTTTTGGAGCTGACTGGTGTAATGTTGTCAATGCTGATAAGTAGTGCTCCAGATGCCCCAAAGGTGCTTTTTCAAGAGGCAACTGGACTTGTTGGTTTTTCTTTGAAGACATTTCGCTTCACATCTAAGAAGCTTTTTCAGTTCTGACTGGATGGTGGGGAATGGAAGGATTTATATTCCTTGCCCACCATCCAGTCAGATTTGAAGAAGCTTCTTGGATGAGAAGCAAAATATCTTCAAGGGAAAAAAAACAGAAAGTTCCAGTTGCCTCTTGAAAACGCACCTTTGGCACAACCATGACCTGGATGACTGAGAATCTCCATAGACATTTAGTGTTCCAGATGTTTGGGGATTATTCTGCCAACTAATTGATTTTAGTTTTTTTTTTATGACAGCTAAAAAAACCCAGGATAGTGGTAAATATCTGTAGCTTGAGGTAGGAAAAAAAGAGGAAACTTTGATTTTGGGTTATACTGATTAGATAGGTTTGTTATTATAAAAATGGGTAGTTTATACTATTATATAAAAATAAAAAGTTGAGGTTTGATATTATTTTATTCTACTGCACAAAAAGAAGTAGGAAGTTAACACTTTTTTTTTCCTTTTCTCCTTTTTCCCACATTTTTCCTTCCCTTTTCCCCTCTCCTAAATTTCCTACTATTTTCTTTCGTATTTCTGTATTTTATAGTATTAATACATAAATAAATAAAACTTTGGATGAATTGGTGGATGAACTGGAGAAAGTATTAATAAATAAAATAAAAAGCAGTCTTTTTCCCGCTTAAAATCATTGTTTCATCCTTAAAATAGGGTAGTTCAAATTTGAAGTTTTTCCATTTCTAAATCTTTTGCATAGATCTAGCTAGAAAGTTAAAAGGAAACAGAAAGGTTTATCCCCCCCCCCCACTCCTTTTCTAATAACTAACTAAAAGAGAGGGTTAGTGTTTGGCTTCACAGCATAATTTGTAGAACAGCTTGATTTTAAAAAATGAAAAGAAGAAATCTGGGATTGATAGTTTATTCCAAAGAGCAATTTTCACATCTTGTCTTTCACAGATGCCTTGCCTTCACATATTTGTGATTTCCTTAAGCCTTGGAAGGAAACAATGCACTGTAGAGATCACCAAAGAGAAATCTGTAGCTTGCTTTTCACAGTTCACATTTTCCAGCGGAATATATATAGTAATCATCCAGTCAAAGTCATTGTTCCTGCACATCATCTAACTCTTCTGTATGTATTAATCCACTCCTGGTCTCTCCTTGTCTTCGTTTTGAGATGTCAAGTACCTTCTCCTCATCTATCTTTTGAAGAGGCTTTTTCTAAGTGGATGTTCCCGTAACTGAGTTATTCTTTCCTGTAAATAGAGAGAAAAATTTAAAAAGTGTAATTAAAAGGTACATGTTAATTTACTTACTATTACCTTAAGGGACTTAATTACCTTACCAAAGAGCTATTTACAATTCTTTTCACTTGGGCCAGTTTCCTGCCTAGGCAGGGGGTTGGACTAGAAGACCTCCAAGGTCCCTCCCAACTCTGCTATTGTATTGTATATCTTTGGCATGATCATGTGGTCAAATTTGGGCACTTGGCAACTGGATCACCTTTACTGCTGTGTGTAGCATCTCAGTCACATAACCATAATTTTCAACTTATTCAAGAGTTTCCAGCATTTACTTCCAGTTTCTGGCACAAAAAGGCAACTGAGGAAATGAATTTTCTTAGCGACCACTGTGTTCCTTTAACAACTGCCACAAAAAGTGCCCCCCCAAAATGGTTCTGGTCATGTGTTGCCTTAACCACATAGGACCACAACAACTTATGACCATAACTCCTGGCTAAATTATAGTCATAAATCAAGGACTAGCTGTACGCTGCCCCTCTCTGACCCTTCTATGCTACTTTTTTCACTGGCTTTGCTTTATCCCAGCAGTTCATCACTGCCATTAAACCCTTCATTCTTTAGATGTGAAAGGTTACCTTTATAGTACATTATTCCAGCTGCTATTGCCAATCCAGTCCCGAGTCCCATGAAGAAGCCCAACAGCCAAGGAACCACTGCAGTTGTATCTGTGGGCCGAGGAGGTGAGAGAGAAAATGTATGCCTAGTATTTTGGGTATCTGGAGGATTGGGATGAATAATTACTGTATTTTTCAGAGTATAAGACGCAGTGGTTTCCTTTACCGTCCACTCTCAACTCTATTGTCTTCTCTTCCCTGTCAGGGCTGTGGAGAACAGAGCATGTGTAAATCTTTCCATCTGCGTCCTGCACATTTGGAAGCAGAATGCTGGCATTACCCCGTAGTACTTCCGTAGGAGACATCTTTACCCCTGGCTGAAAGATTTCCAACTTACCTTCAAAATTAGCAATATCTCTTCAACCCACACGCCATGTCACACTTAGGGTTTCTGGATCTATGGGTCCAGAAGAGTCCTGAAAGTAACAAGGCAGCAGGACATCAGAACCTGGTTTGCCTTGAATTCGGCCTTGGGGGACTGTAACGGTCAATTCTGCCTCTGAAAGAGAAAGGCAACAGGAAGAACTGATGTTATAAAATCAACGTAAGATATTAGGTAGCTTAGTAACTACCAGTAGTTAAATTCAAGATTGCCTATTTTACTTGAAAAACTGATCTTTTCAATTGAGATCAACACATGTACTGATCTTTGATTATAATAAACATTTGACTGACTGACTGACTGACTGACTGACTGACTGACTGACTGACTGACTGACTGACATCAACCCATATGAAGACATCAGAGGTGGGGAACTGTGACCCCTTTATGGCTTGTGGACTTCAACTCCCAGAATTCTTGACTTTTTAGAATACTAAAAGGACACGCTCAAGCAGAGGTCAAAGTATATTTCACAATGGACAGGAATCCCAAACACAAAGCCCCCCAAAATGTATAAAAACCCACTCATCTCAACCCCATTTTGTCAGTCACCCCATAAACATGCTGCTGAGGTTTCTGGCTAATAAATAAACGGAGACCTCCTTTCCGAAATGCAGCCTGCCTCCATTCTATTTTCAGCATCTTTCTCCCGGCTTGGGATTGGACCAGATTTTTCTTCTGATAACTGGATTTGGCATTTTTATCCACCTATGGAGAACTTTCCAAGAATCTGGGATAGGCATATGTTGATGTTTCATAGAGTTAAAGATATCATCACAGGTTGAAAACTGTTCCAAGTATATTCTACTTTGGCAATTGACTGATGCTAATTTTGTCAATGTTGATGTGTTTAAGTGGTGCCCCAGATGTTTGGGGATTATTCTGCCAATTTATAGATTTTAAGGTTTTTTTTTGTAATTGCTAAGGAAAACTGGAACGCTCTTGGCGCTCCAGTTGTGTTGCACCTGCTATTATTTGTACTATCTTTGCTTTCTTTTGACACAGTTGTTCTTTTTCTGTTTACAAATCTTTGCATTTTGTTATCTTCTCCAATTCTTTTTCTTCCATTCCACTGTCTGTGGGTACTGCCACATCTAATATCCAGACTTTTTTGTCTTTCTTATCCACAATTGTTAAGTCCGATGTATTATGTCGGGTGCATTTCTACCTGATTTCTAAACTCCTAGAGCACTTTAACCTCTTCATTTTCTATTACTTTCTCTATTTTACGGTCCCATCAGTTCTTGCTTGTAGGCAAATGGCATTGCATTGGGATATGCACCACTATAGCTCATTTTTCATGCTGTTGCTTGTAACCAGTCTGGGCAATCTTCTCGCAGCAGCTAACCAGGTGGCCCACTGTTTCTTCAGCTACTTTGTTCAGCTTTTTTATCTTTTATTCAAGTTCCAACTTCTTTCTATTTTCCTGCTCTTAGCCATTGTCAAGTCTTGTTATTATCTGCTTTGTCTGCTATTTTTTTTAAATGTACTGGTCATGTAATACTATCTTCCCATGTCTCTTTTTCTGTTTTTTGTTTAGTCTATTTTGTGGGGCAGCTTAACCGTTCTCAGTATATTAGCTTCAGTGCATCATTTTCACTGGCCTTCAGGGATTTTTCCAATTGCCCTTTTTTTATATTTAACCTTCTGCAACATTCGGCATCCACCTGTTTTCCTTGGTAAATAGAATCTGTTGTCATTGCTGCTAAGACGAAGGGCATGATTCATTGTCATTATATTTCTAGTCTTTCTATCCAGGGCTTTTAGTTCTGCTTGAGTCTATTATTCCAGTTGGGAATCTAATAACTGGAATTGCTCAGGTGTCAATTGCCTTGATGGTATTTCCTCCACTGAGTTTTTGGACTTTAAGATCTTCACTCCCTTGATATATTCACTTCTGGCCTTTAATTTGACTTCAATGTGCTTTGTGTCATCACCTTGAAGGATGCTCAGATATTTGTAGTGATCATCTTCATCCGGACTCTTTATATTGTTTTCATAGGGAATGTTGAGTTTTCACTCCCCACCCCCACCCCCGTTTGATGGTGACCATGGTACATTTGTCAGGTCAAAATTCTACTGCAGTATCTTGGCTGTATAGACAGACAGTTCAATCAGAATAGAAATGGAAGGGACTTTGGAGGTCTTCTAGCCCAATCCCTGCTCAAGTAGGAGAAGATCCTTGCCTGTATCATTTCAGACAAGTCTCTTCTTAAAAACCTCCAGTAATGAAGCACCCACAACCTCTGAATGCAACCTGTTCTGCAGTTTAATTGTTCTCACTGTTATGAAGTTTCTCCTTAATTCCAGGTTGGTTCTCTCATTGATTAGTTTCCATCCATTGTTTCTTGTTCTGCCTTCTGAAATTTTGGAAAATAAGTTGATCTCTTCATCTTTGTGGCAGCCTCTCAAATACTGGAATAGGCCTATCACGTCACCCCTAGTCCTTCTTTTCTCTAGACTAGCCAAATCCAAATCCTGCAAATGTTCTTCATATGTATTAGTCTCCAATCCTTTAATCGTCTCAGTTGCTCTTCTTTGCACTTTTTCCAAATCTCAACATCTTTTTTGGCGACTTTTTGGCGACTACCCGGAGGAGAGCCTTCTCTGTGGCTGCTCCGACCCTCTGGAACGAGCTCCCCGTGGAGATTCGAACCCTTACCACCCTCCACGCCTTCCGCAAAGCCCTTAAAACCTGGCTGTTCCGACAGGCCTGCCCCCCCCCCTCGAATGGTATGGTTGTTGTGTGCTTTTAAATTGTGTATTGTGTTTTATGTCCCCTTTCCCCCTTTTGAGTTGTTCGCCGCCCTGAGTCCCTCCCGGAGAAGGGCG